TCACCATTATAATATTCAAAAGAAGAAACTTATTTCGTATTGGTCTTCCCATATTTTAAGCCTTGCCTGTTTGTGAAAATTAAATAATTTATTTAGCATTTACTTATTTAATAATTGGTGAAATTTGGTCTATTTTTAGATATTCTTTAAATTATGTGCAATTTTCTCTATTAGACTTTGTATTTAGTTAATATTTTGGGAATTTTAAAGATTTGAGAAGACTGATCCTTAAATAATTAATCAAATTTATTTTTGCAATGCAATATTATATAAACTGTTAAATTCTTATAAGTTATAAATAAGTTCAAAACCATAGATATTTTATCATGTTTTTATTGTATTATGAAAGTTAATTATCTTAAAAATAATTTTTCTTCCACAGATTTATGAAAAATATTATATTTTTTTACTTAAAGAATTTTTTGTAAATATGGTAATATTTTATTATTTCTTATAGTTTTAAATGTGAGATTATATGTTATTTTATTAGGATATGAGATATTCATATTTGACTTAATAACCATTTTTTAATGGATTGCTTTATATAATCGTATTTATTTAAAATGTAATAATATTTTTCTTAAATAAAAATAAACATTAAGTGCAGATAAATATTGCTTAAAACTTTAAGATTTTTCTTCAAATGCCATAATATATTTTTTACATATTATCAAAAATGCATTTCCTGAAATATTATTTCTGGTTTTTGTAGGCCTTTTACATAAAATTCCATATAAATTAAAAGACCACATAGAAGATTTGTTAAGGAATGTGTTCAGAAACTAAGCCGAATGGAAGAAAAACAGCAGTTTCTGAATTGAGAGAAATTTTAGAAAATTATATCAACATAAAGGATTCTGATGGACACAATTCAAAAGAAAATTCCTTGTTTTGTCACATAAAAAGAAACTAAAACAGTAATATTATTTCATCTTAATTTTATACATTTTTCTTAAAATTTATATTAATGTTTTAGAATGTTTGTTGTATTATCAAATGCATTTATAAATCAATTTTTATTTTAGATTTTTTTTTAAAATTATGTAAAAATGGCTAGTTTATTTGAAATAATTTTTTTATGTTCAATCTTTAATGTGTTGTATAATTTTATTTAATCAATATGTAGAATAAATCTGCATACAAATTAGAAAAAAAAAAGATTAACTATTATATTTTATAAATATTGAATGCTAAATTTATATAAATATAAAGGATTTGTTCCAATTCATTATCAATAAGCATGATGAGATAAGTGTCATATTGCATTTAACATTCGCAGCTATTTTTTTAGTAATTTAATATTGTGAAAAATACTTTTATTAATAAAAGTTCATTCAGAATTTGTCAAAAATGAATTATATATATTGATTGAATTCAATTAATTGACATGTTGAATTAGGTTCCAATGTTTCTCTTTTTAAGAAAATGTGATGCATGCCAAAGAAACTTTTAACCCTTGATTTCTATTTTAATGATTTTTATAAATTATGATTTGCTTTAGTTAAAGTTAAGATGAACAATTAAAATGTATAACTTAATGTATATTTTCTTAAATTTCTTATTTATGTAAACACATATCAGAAATGACTTCCCTTCAAATATGTTTAAGTTGGAATTTATATTGAGAGTAGTATTATTTTACTAGACATAATGGATAAAAAATCATGTAAAAATCACAATGAGATAAGTACTTTGATTACTTATAAATAACTAATGTACTTAATTATGTCATACATAAGAAATGCATCAATTGTATACTAATGACTTTTACAAAATATTGAAAGACATCATGATGTTAACTATTGGCAATACTGCATTTAATTTATGAAAGCAATAAGATATACAGAGAGAATAAATGTACATCTTTATGCAGCAAAATGACATTTAAATGAAGAGATGTGTTGTGGAAGTAATGTCTACCAATAGTTAAATGATCTTGTGCTATGATCTGTGACTGATTGGAGTATTCCTAGCTATGAATCTTAGAAGTCAGTGATATTACCTGAAAAACTATGAAAAAAAAAGTTAATTAGGAAACTGTAGTGTGTTATCGATACCAATTTTTATATAGAAAAAAATAACCTTCTATATACACCTGTAACATAACAAAAAGCCATGAAATACAGATCCATGGTATTTGATCAGTGTTATTATTATATCATTAATAGCATCTCACAGCTAAATCTGTAATCCTTCTGAATGGGGAAAAGTGCATGCACTTTTTACCATATGTTTTTAAATTGAAAGGAAATGGCATAAAGTACTTTATAATGAAGCATAAATATGATGTCCTGATCTGTGTGGCAAATGCTATTTAAATTGGGAACTTACCCATAATGAACTCTAATGCAGTGGTTGTACACAGCACAGATGGGACTACTGTTGTAACTTCATACTGAACACATGGGATGTTTAGTAAAAATTTCATGTTGAACATAGACATTCTATGGATGGTTAAAGTGAAATTTAATTAATGTGGGATGCTTAACTGACTAGTGTAGTGGCCTCATAATGGTTGGTGTGGAATTTGGAAACAACTGCTTCATAAAATCAGGTTCTACAAAGGAACATTAAAAAAACATTGGCAGCTATTGCAAACCACAGTTATTGAATTTTTAGATGACTTGACTTGGAAATAGTATGTTCTGTTTTGCTCCAACATAACTTATTCCTCTACACCAATTTGACATCAGTCTGATATTTTTAGCACTAAATCATCGGTTATGTAGATAATATGGAATGTTCTCCGAGGTCCCCTGACCTAACTCAGTTGAATTTCTTCTTGTGAGATTTTCTAAAAGATGCTATTATAACTTACCATTGCATAACTTTAATGAACTGAAAAGTTGAATTGTCTATGCATGTAGATGTGTAACATCCAAAATGCTATCGAACTTTCAATAAAATGTACTATCCCTAGTACAGACATGTATTCCTGCTGATAGTGGATACTTTGAGTGCTCATTGATGGAATTACTGACTTACAATTATGTTATTTTTCTTTATAATGTTTTGCTGTTGTACAAATTTCATACTAAAATCTTATTTAATGGATAAAATAAGTCTCACTAATTATCATATTTCTTCACTTGTTTAAAGACGTAGTTATGGTGATGATTGGATAACATGGAATTTTTATTTCTTGGTTTCCGATTAAGTTACAGATATATGCAGATAGTTATTTTATACTTAAGTGGTGACATTCTGCAATTTTCATTTTTTTTTATTGTAATATTTTTCCAGATTTTTCACTAGGACATAGTATCATCACTAGTCTTAGATTATAATGTATGACCTTTTTACTACATGTAGATATTACTTTCACAATTTTCTTCATTCTAACGTAATTTGATGGTATAAAAATATACCTATGATACATGTATGTATATAAGGCAGCTAAGTTAAATTAGAATTTTTACTGTCCTAGTTCAAGTCTTTCACATTTTGAATCATCATAAACCATACATTCCTGCATTGTAATTAAATTATAGTATAAATTTGAATAAACATTAAGCTTTATAATTTTAACTAGGCATTAGACTTAAAGTTTTTTTTTTAAGTAGTTAATTGTGAAAGTTAATTATATTAAGCTTCTCCATGAAGTGGTCTTTAATGCCCTCATGAAATCGGTATGTTTATTTCATAATTCTGCCTTAACAGTTAACCTGCCTTAATGGATAATAGTAAAATTACCCTTTAGAGAAAATTTGAAAATATTTTGATCACAAGGAAATTTTATGATTGGAGTAAAAGTATAAAGTGAGTATTTATATTCTGTAGTGCAGAAAGAAAGATTAATGAAACTAAAGGCATCATAATTCTAAAGAAGTTTTTATTTTTTTAATAAATGTTACATGCTAATTAACATGACTGGTGAACATATGCAGACATCATGTCATCCAGCAATAAGTTTTTTTTTTTTTGTTTTTATTTACTAATTAATTCTATTAATTGTTAAATTGTTGATGTGTGTTGAATGAATTTTTCATAAAAAAGAGCTAGTAATAATTTTGAAAGACATCCTTCTTTTGTATAATAATACTCCTTTAGAATTTGAGATGCCTTGTTTTTACAATTTTAAGACTATTTAGAAATTTACAACATATATTCGCTAAAAATCACTTGACAGCATTTGCTATACAATGGAAAGGATTAATCTGAAAATTCAGAATGTTGAATTAAATACCATACCATATGATACTATGAAGAATAAAAACATGTCATGTGATGCAATTGCATGTTTTAACTATAGAGTAAGCCTAATTTTTGTCATCTTTACATGATTATCAATTTATTAGATTATTTATATTAATTTTATATGAGTTGGCCCAAAATCATATATGTATTGCCAAAGTTTTCTTGCTGTGATGCAATCCATTCTTTTAAGGTTTATTAAATATAGTGTTTATCTGCATAATGTTATAATATTATTTATGATTTGAGAATTGCATGATCAGAGTATATATTTATGATGTTGGTATAAAATATAAGAAAATTACTATATATCATGGATTATTATATGTTGTATGATTAGGGTTTTCCAATTATTTTTATATACAGAGTGAATGAAAAGTTGCACAACCCAGTCAAAAATTGCAAAAATTCCAAATTAGACATTAATGATAAATTGTTTCAATAAATGATACCTACAAGTAATGACATGAAATTCTGGTTATAGTTGATGCTGTTTGTTTTATAAAACATTTTTGGCATAAGATTGAGGTGAGTGTTTCTCAACAGAACAAATTTTTATTGTGGAACATTACTTTGCAATGCATTCTTATGGAAAAGTTGTTTGAAGCATTTAATGGAACCTTTTCAAAAGTTCAAGAACCAAATACAAAACAAAAATTTTTTTGCTTGGTAACCTGATTGCAAGAAACTGGAAGTGTTCTAGGCTGTCCTTATTTTTTGCAAAGGTAAGAATAACACTAGCTGGGGTTAATCAGAAAAACCAGAAACCTACAGTTTAAAGTGGATTCGAACCACTAACAGTTACCCATCCCATCATCAGGATTTGAACCTGAAGCCTGTGGCACTAAAGGCCACTGTGTTGGTCACTTCGCCATCGGTATTGCGTTTGTACAGTCAAAAATGAAAGTGCCTGATTCTTAAGTTATTGTGCTACTGTCTGTAGCTCAGATTATTTATGGACATCAGTACAGTAAAAAAAATAAAAAAACTTGATTCTGAGTTTTTAATGATGAAACTTGGTTCCATGTAAGCAAATATGTCATCTTAAACATACAAAGAGGAGCTGAGAAAATTGGTATGTATTTCCTAAGAGTAAATCCTGTACATTCATCAAAAATTTTTCTATTGTGCTGTATCCCACCAAAGAATTGTAGGCACATTTTTTAGTTTATTCCATTACTTGTTAAAGACGAACATGTTTGCTGGTTTCAGCAAGGTAGAGCAATCTGTCATGTCTAATGAGATTCATTCCTCATAAGACTTTTCACTGACTGTCTCATTTCGACATGCTCTTTGTATTTCTTTCTATGAGGCTACCTAAAAGTACATGTTTATGCAAGCAGTCTTCATTACGTTATTGAATTTAAAACAATCCTTGAAAGTGAGATTGGAAAAATAAACATTTTTGCATGGAGGAAAGGGGCCTCAAATTTAGGAAAATGTATTCATGTATGTATTTCAGGAAAAAGGTAAGATTTTAACAAATAATTCGACGATGTTTAAAGTTTTGTCATTTTTGATTCTCAGAAAAATTTCTCTTTCAATTTAGTTCATGCTTGTAGTTTGATTCAATTTAGTATTTTTGTAATAAAATATTTTTGCACTGGTTACGTGAATGTTTGATCATACTGTATATATATATATGTTCTATATTATACTGGTTTATAAAGTTGCTACCATTTTTCTTTTCTATGAAAAACGATTCGATCTTTTTAAATGCTTTTTCAATTTTTTATCGGATTTTTTTTTGTTTTACGATGAGTTAGTGTAATTGCATTAATGTATGCATATATTCCTATTTTTATGTTTTATTTGTATGCTATATATATAAATAAAAATACATAGTCAAGTCTGTTTTTATGTGACAGATATGTATCATAGAAACCTACTATTAAAAATTGTGTGTGAAAAAAAATTATCCTAAAAATTATACATAATACATTACATAAAGCCAGAGAATGAATTAAAATGAACTGCAAATTGTGTAATATATATATTGTAACATTGAATTGTCTGAAATATAAACCTTTAACTTTAATGTTATGTAAAAACAAACAAAATTGGTGTGCATCAAGAGACAAAATTATATACCAGGTTATTATAAAAGGCTTAAAAAAAACATGTTCACATTCTAGTTGTACTGTAATAATAATAATGTAGATATGATTTACAAAACAAGTTCATTGAACAACGTCTGCATATAATACAGAAAGCTTTCAAAATTACTGTCATTTGCAATATTTCAAGCCTCATAATAATAGTGATTTAATTGGGGAATGCATTCCAACAATCCAGAACTGTCACGGACGCATGCTATTGATTGACAGTTCTTACAACGAAATCTTCATCAGAGGTTATGGGAATTTAAAGCACAAGATTTTTGAGGAATCACTACTGGAAAAAAAAATGAATCAGGCACAAGTCAATTGGCTTGTTATACACCAATATCATGTGCGACAGCTCACATTCTTGTATGATAATTATATCAACAGCAGTTTCTTTTATGTCAGCTGTATATGAAGATTGTCCCCAACTACAACGAATTGCTCATTGTTTAAGATTCAGCTTCATGAAATCTTTGATGTAAATATGCAAACAGTTCATTATACAAAATCACTGCTGCTTACTCTGTTTCTTTAGCTCTCCCATACACTAAATGCATGTCAACCATCTCATTGCTCTACAACTACCTCCTCTTTTGATGTGTTTTTAACTGGAATAATAATGGCTCATGGCGTGTAATTCACTTTCAGCCGAACGATGTACTCCAATGTTGTTTCTACCTATATAATTTGTTTTGGTATTTCTGATCTAACTTTCAAGTTTGTTATATACATGAATATTTGAAAGGGTTCTATGTATGTATAAATACATTAGCACTGCATTAAAAAACATTAAATTTTAATAAAATATTTTTATAATTCTGAAATATACATAAAATCAAAGCTACCCTTTCTGTTAATTAAAAATGGTAGAATGAAAAAAAAAAAAAAAATATGTATTTATTCAAAGATACGATCAGAGCTCAGAGATGCCAACTACAATGGATTCTCTGCAATTGCTGCATATTACAGAAAATAAAAATAAAGTCAAACAAACTAATACTACTTATGGAAATAAAAAAAATATATATAAGTAAATATTTTTGTGTATTACTTTTCTAACTTGATGAAAATGTTTCATTGATTTCGGAAAAAATACCACCAACTTTCACAAAAAGTAGAAAATTTTTGACAGTAAGTCTTAATCAATAATGTGCACGGAAAAATATATTGTCACTGTTACGTTTTACCTTAGTTATCAAAAGTACTATTGTAATGTTTGGACTTAAAAAAGCATAAAATTGAATGCATAAGTTTAATATTTATATAAATTTTTACATTTACAATGTTTATATTTTAATTTCAAAAATTTTCTGTAATATCAGGTTTTTAAAAATATTATACTTTTTCATTATATCTATTCTGTAATAAATAATTTCAGACAGGTATAAGAAGCATTAAATGATCTCTATATTTACCGTAACTTTGTTAATGTTTTTAAAAAAAAAAAATTGCCTGCTGCATTACTTGACAAGATTATAAATTGTAACTCCAGTTACAAAAGTACATCTCATCTCTGTTAATAATGTTGATGGTCATTTCTATTAGAAAGTAGTTGTGTATGTATCCACTTGCCATTTAGGCCTCTCTCCTCCTCCACTATTGACATACATCAAAATCTACTGAAAAATTTGTGAGATATTAAAAAATGTCCTTTAAAATTGGTGTCTCTAAATCTGTATGAAGAATAGATAGAAGAAACATATATATTCATATTAATAGCAATAGAAATATTGAAATAAAAACTATGTTATTTCTATCACATAAAATTCTCAGATTAGTTTTCATTAAAATTAATTTGCTTTGTGTCTTAAATATTATGTTGTCTACAAGATATTGCTACTTTAAGCATACTGAAAGCATCAAAACTTTGTATTTTATACTACAGTTTAAAATATTTTAGTAGTTTTTTTTTTTTTTACTGTCTTTGTTGGCTTTTGTTATATGTCTTATAAAATAATTGTAATAATCCTAAAAAAAAATTCCCCTGTATCTAGAAATTAATATTTATTATGAATATTGTATTTGAAAATATATTCATGTTAACATTTGTTTTCATTGTTTTATCATCAATGTTATGTAAAGCTTTATAGTGAACTGTTTTTATAATATTTTGATTTGTTTACTGTGTAGATAAATGTTGTATTGCTAAAATAAATATTAGATATTTATATTTTTAGTAATAAAGATATTTTCTTTTTATAAACCAATGCATATAATTCAATCATAAACATAAATATACATGATTATCACGTGCTTTAAATATAATTAAAAAAAAAGTTTAAAATATCCTTCTGAAATACAAAGCAATAATATATACAGCAATATTTTAATCCTGTGGTTCTAAGGGTTAAAATATTGTTTTATATTTCTCTTTAATTGTATAATAAAATTTTATTGTTCAAATTATAAAGAAAGTGTGTTATATTAAAAAGTATACACACTATACACAAAATATAGTAACATAAATTAATTAAAATTAAAGCATAAATAAAAGTGTCCTTGTTTCACATTTGTGATAACTTATCAGTTTATTTATCACAAATGCTAAACAAGGACACTTTTATTTATGCTTTAATTTTAATTCATGAAACCAAAAAAATTATTTAAGAGTTATTACATTTATTTTTTTACAAAAGTGATATATGTGAAAAACGTGCAGAAAAATGATTAATTATTTGTTTATTTAAAAATTATTATTTATTATTGCGGGCCTACACTTTCTGCTTCTAGGAAGGCAATACTTTAAATTTGTTTACTTGATTGACTGAGCTTTTTTATTAATTTGTAAAGACTTTGTACAAAATTAATGAAAATGAAAATTTTGTGAAAGACCACAGGTTCATAAATAACTTTTCTAAATTTAGTTTTATTAGATTCTCTTAATTGCTTAAAATGGAATGAAAATTATAATTATATAATTATTTTAATGTGTGAACAGGAATGGGGATTGGAAAACGATTGGTTTAGTTAAAATATTGAAAGTCTCTTGTATTTAATGTATATAATCTACCAGGAATAATTTTCTTGTTCCTTTTTTTTTTTTTTTTGTAGCATGGATTTAATTATGTATAACTGAATGTTACTATCAGATGTATATGTACTAACAAGAAGTAAAGACTAATATGTAATGATAATTTTTTTACTTGGATGATTGTTTACCTTTGGATTTAATTGATTTATATTTAAATTTAAAACAAAGTTTTTAAGAGTAATAAAATTATCTTATTTTTATGAAATAAATTTATAGCAGTGATTTAGTTTAAAAATAAATTATTTAAAATATATTATTTACTTTAAAAGTTATAAAAAATAACAATGAACAGTAGTAAAGAAACAAGCATATTTAAACTACACAATCATATATATATATATATATATATATATATATATATATATATATAAAAAAGAAAGGCATTTTCGTAACGAAAAAAAAAAAAAAAAAAAATGGAAAAGTCAAACCGCCAAGTTTACTAGTGTTTTAAATATTTTTCAGAATGGAATTTTCTCAGTAGGAATTGGTTTGAACTTCTGTGAGTAATCACAGTGTGATTTTGTCGTTATTTTTTTGTTATTGTGATAAAAAGTTACTGTATATTTCCTTTCATTACCTTCCATTTCTGCACTGCCTTTGCATGTTATCATTCCCTCCTATTGGAAATTATTGCAAGAAACTCAAATTATATTTTATTTAAATATTTATATAGACTATTTTCTTAAAAAATAAATGATCTCTTTTATCAAATATTATTTATGATGTTTGAAAAGGAAGGAATTTC